AACATTAAGTATTTTAATGCAATAATGTCGATTTTATATTTATGATTTACTTGAGAATAGCCCTAGATATGTTGAAACTGGAGCTTTTAAGAGCGTTTGCAGCCGGTCAATTTGGATTCACGCGTTTTCGGAACATCAAATAAACAGCTTTGTGTATTTTTGTTCCAGTCGATATAAAAATTTAGTGTGCACGCATCTTAGGAAATGACGTGCAAAGGTTTTGGCATAAATCTCTTATCGCTCTCTATTTTTCCCTAGCTATTGCTAGGAATGGATATTCATCTTGCATTACTATTTTTAGTAATAATAATTTTTAAATATATATGAAAGTTGTAGTTCGTCTGCAGGTTCATTTCGCTTAAGACTTTTTGTTATTGTTTAAAATTCAAACAATACTTTTTATAATATAAACTCTCCCTATCTAATCCATTAATTGCCTTAAATTTAAATTCAAGTTTTTAGGTTAGACGAATATTTTAATCGATAATTTTTTAAAATCACGAAATAACTCACATATGTTACGAAAGTGTCGTCATCGTGAACCAAAATCTATATTTAATTTAAATTTGTATAATGCTTTCATATTTCTGGTACACACATATGTAGCCGCATCATCATATAGGGTAGAGCGGGGCCTAATGGTCTACGAGTAAAAAGGTCCACCACCGAGATCTCAAAAACCTGTAAAGTTAAGACTTTATTAACAACAATATTTGAAAGTAGAGGGCAAAAGACGTACAACTAGTCATCACCTTGCTTCTTACGACGTTACTCTCTGGAGGAAAACGGCAATGTTGGAAAATCCAAAACAAAAGTATTGTCTTTTGTTGTCATTTGTTTTGGTTGTGAGCACTGTCGTTGGTTTTCTAGACTTCAATGTAATTTTTAAGTATACGTCATTTAATTGTTTCATAAGATGTATTGTTAATTTTAAGTTAGATTCAACCGTTTTTTATATAACCTCTATAAAAGCTTCACACGTGGGTGAGGTATAAAGGACTAACTAAACTTTTACCCTGACAAAAGTGTAAACAATGAAAAATAGTAAATAAAAAAGTAAACTAAGTTAAAAATAGAAATTTTGCGTTAAAAAGAGAGATAGTTGTTCTAACTCTGCTTATGAATATTTTTGACGAATTACCAGATCAAGGTTGTTTACAGTATTATCTATTTGAAAAATGCACCGATGAAATTTTGCATTGGTTGAATAATGTAGCTATTATTTTGTAAAATCTCTTAAAAATTAATATGAGACATTGGACCTGTTTGCCCTCTGGCTGACCCAATTTACCCCGCCGAAGGGGTAAATAGAAACAAATTTTTGAACAAACGCATTTCTACAATGATGAATTATCTGGGTGTTTTACTAAACATAGTCAGATAGTTGTTTGTTTGATATGTGCTATTTGTTGTGATATAATTGGTTTGGTTTTCACAATATAATTGCTCAAAGTCAAGTTGAATCTTTGTGACCCGCTCTACTCTATATTCGAATTTATACAAGATTTAATATTCACATTTGTCTATTTCGATATTTTGATCAAAAACTTCTAACAGCATATAATATTAATAATTCATTTATTTTATTGCAAAATCACGATCTATAAATGATTTCACTTATATAGTAAATTAAATAAGTGCTCATATATTCTAGATAAAATCATTTAGCGATTTGATATTTCACAATTAAAAATATAGAAATTAGAGCTCGCAAATGAAACGCACCGTTTAGTGCATATTTTATAAATGCATATAAATAATTGAGTTATTAATTAAGAATTTCTAAGAATTATTATACAAAATACTTTTCCTGGCAAAAATATTTTTCGATCATTTCTCGCCACTGTGCACTTGATTTGGTATGTTGAAAGCTGTTATTGGTACAATGCACGCATTTCATATCATCTTAATATTCTCGACTTAATCACTTCGCTGAACTGTATAAATATTTGTATTGTATATTTCTATAAATCTTATTATTAATTTGCTATGTTATTGGTAATTTGTTCTTATCAATTTTATGATAGTTTGCGATTTCTATTAATAATACAAACAAAAATACAGAGCGATGTTGACAAACGCTAGCTATTGTTTTGTAAAAGAATTATGTTGGGAAGACACGCTGTGAAATAAAATGATTTAGTGAATAAGTAATGTAGCAACTTTTCTACAGGGTTTTCCAAATCAATAAAGATATATGTATATATATATATATATATATATATATATATATATATATCTCCAAAGCGATGGAGATTCACCTTGTTAAAAGTGTGATAATGATATAATTAGGAAATTAATTGAATGTGGATAATGATATAACTAGGAAATATTGTTATAGTATACATAGTATATAATTATAACTAAACTAGTGGTGCATGGCATCGTGCCTTAAGGCTAGACCTGCTTTTCCAAAAATTGCATTAGTTCTTCATTTCGTCGATGCCATTAAAATGTTTTTTGAATCATTAAAATTGGACGCTTTGTTCTCTCCAAAATTTAATCACAATTTTTTTACACTTTTTGCCCCGTATCTTCGAAATAGGACTGAACCTATCTTTGCCAAAACCTAATCAGCAAGTCTCCTTATCAATAGAAATCGAATGTTTTTTGAATTATTCAAATTGGTTGATCCGTGTTGTCGAAATCGTCGACGAAAAATCGTATCCGCTTATACATGCACACACACATTCATTTTTTTCTAAGGTATGCCAAAATGTTCAGAAACCTATATATTAAAATTTTTATTTTCGATTTTTTTGCCCTTACCCAACGGGAAGTTAATAATTAGGTTTACAATCGTGTTATTAACTTTTAAAAGTCAACATCATAGGGAAGTTGAAACATATATATCTCAAAAAATCTTTTATTTATAAAATTCAACTACTTGAAATCTTTTATGAAAATAACACTCATTTTTATAAAAAAAACTTTTATAAATGCATTATTAGTTATGTACTTTTTCTTACAACTTTTACTTCATTAGTGCATGAAATCCTACATTTATAGGACATTTATAAATCCTGCAATTTTAAAATCTTGTAGTATTCTTTTTGGGTTTCAGTCATGGAGACATAAAATGAGTTTGTGAAAATCCAGCAATTTCTTATAGTTATATAAGGATAATAGTAGGGAAGTGTGGTGGTCGAAAATTTATCATATGGTGAGCATTCGTAGAAAGCACTTTCACACCACTAATTCCAATTTTAAGTTTTTTATGTGACCTGCTAAATATTAGTTATGATTGAGCTATGAACAGTTAATTCTCTATAAACAATATATCAGTAATTTGGCATTTTCTGTTGAAAGTAAACTTGGTAAATAACTCATCCAAGTCTTGCGTGTAACTGACAATATTAAGCAATTGAAGCATATCAATAAATTGACGGCATTTCTTTTGTATAAAATTTGAATTGTTACAAAATAATCCAATCACTGTGTGGTAGGTGCTACATTTTACATTTTTTGTTGATGTTTTTTTATTCAAATATTAAACTACTTAATATTTAATTTATACAAATTTCATGGTCTTATAGAAAATTATCAAATACATATTTTTAGATAATTTACTCATTGATTACCATGTGTTTTGAAGGTGAAATCCCATTACCCTGGCGTTTTCTTGAACAACAGGTATAATTAGCTCTCTGGAGTATACAATCGCGTTTGTCAACATTATTATTCTGATATCGCAATTAGAAATCGTCGCCAAAAGAATTGCGTGACTCCATCGTATCGTATACGCCAATTCTGTATTTTTTTGTCAATGATCCTTTTCAATTGTTCAGAATGATCCCATAATCATGGATATGTCTGACAGTATTAAATATCCACAATAAAATTTCAAATTTAATTTTGACGAATTTGGGAGATGCTATTTTCAAAGCTTGGTGTAATTATATGGTGTCATTTAACTTTCCCTGATATTTATGTTTTTGGACTGGTTCTATTGTTTCAATATTATTTTTAAATATTTTTATATCTGGCATTATTTGTTTTTTCTTATATGCATAAAATGGACGTACCAAATTTTCAGACATTGGAATATTTTTTATTAGTATGCTTGTATATAAATGCGTAATTTATCCTTACAAAGCAATAAAACCACTTGAATCGCGTTAACGGTGGTAACATACCTTAAACCTTGGTTCAAAATGTATAGAGATTAATAGCTTTTATTTTAACTAAAATTTATATGATTGTTTATTTCAGAATTTAAATAAAGTATAAGATTGCATTCTTGTTTCATGGATTTAATTTAATATTCATGCCATTGCATAATGCTATTGCAAGGAAGTAGTTGATTACTGACTTTTCCAACATAGATCAGGAATGAATAATGTGATCACACTAAACATCATTTCTAGTAAATAATTAATTACTTTGTTTTCAATGAGGTCGCCGTGAGTTGAATTCCATGTCTCAAATAGTAAAGATAAGATATAATGTAATGCTATTTGCTAAATGGACTCGTATTTTCTCTTCTAACGCATCTGTCATTCTATTTATATTAAGTTGCTTTTATTGCCAATAAATATGTTACTATTAAAAAGCATGTAAATCAATCGAATAATAGAAATGCATCAATGCTATTTGTTTGATTCAAGCTTTCATCATGCTTGAGTAATCTAAATCTATCAAACTACTTTCGGTTGTAAATAATTTTTAATTACAGTTTATTTATGTTTACTGATTTTTCCGTGGTTTACTGGTTAGAGGTGTGAAACTTCAGTCAGAGGTCTCACGATCAGGTTCCATACCCGTCTCGGGTCTGATGTCAGGCAGTATTGGTATCGGTTTTAACTTTAAATATGTTCGAAATGGCATTTTTTTCAACATTTTTTAATTGGATCTTTGAAATCGACCTGTCTTTCCACAAATTTAACCAATTTTTCATTTCATCGAAACAAGGGAAATGTTTTTCATTCAAATGGGACGCTAAGTTCTTTCAAAAACTCAATTGCCATTTTTGTCACATTTTGCTCGCCTTTGCCTAAAACTAATCAGCAGGTCTTCCCATCAATGCCAATCGAATTTCTTTTAAAACATTCAAATTCAGGTTGATCCGCGTTATTTCAAAATTGTGGACGAAAATGTATATCCGGACATACATACATACATACGTACTAGAGATGGGCTTATCATATCCGAAGCCGGATCGACTCGGATTTGACTCCGCTTCAGGGAGGAGTTATATCCGCTTAACAACTCCACGACTCCGACCACTTTGAAACCGAAATACTCGACACAAATGTGTTCTATAGTGCGTTGTCTATGCATCTAAGGATTTGTCAAATCCCATTTAATTTTTTAAAATGAAAATTTATGAATAAAATAAAATTAAAAATTATCAATAAAATAATTTTTCTAAAAAATTCACAAATAAATGACAAGTTGTAAAATTTTTCGGTCGACCACATGATCGACTCAATGACTCGTAATTTTAACAGTGCTGACCAAAGTAAAAACGCAAAACTTGAGAATCAAATTTAATTTAATTATTGTCTTTTGATGAAAAAATAATTGATTTTTTGGATTAATTTTATATAAAAATAATGAAGTTAACTTTGTAATAAAAGCAAAACATTTATCATAAAATATTTTTACCAAATAATAATACTTCTGCTTTCTAATTTTTTCTTCTGCTATTTCCATTCGAGAATTAATATTATATCGGGTAGTTCGATCAGCATATTATTACTTTTAAACAATTATATAATTGTGTAAAAGTAAAAATTTAATACTCTATATTTTTTATGCCTAAATACTGTGGACGTCACTGATATATTTTGCACTCTAAAGTATTGTTATTTCAGGCTATGGAAAAACCAGATTAAATGTATTTTTCGGTATGTATATTCCTGATTGCCGTCATTCACTGCCAAAGATTGTCGTCATTAGAAATATGACCCCTTACTATTCAATAAATTATATATCGGAGCTATTCACACTTAAACACAATTTCATTGTTCTGTATCTTTTAAGTAATATTTTTGTATTTTTGGAAAAAAAACGTATACCTAAAAGGTCATAAAACCGCCTGTGAGACGAGAAAGCGACAGCTTCCTTCTCAAAGCAAAAATGCAGTAACAGATTTAGTACCAGTTTAGGGAAGTCGGATATGATAAATCCGACGAGGCAACTCCACTTGGATTCACTCCGAGGGAGAAGTTATATCGGAGTGATAACTCCGGAGTGAGTTACCCATCTCTAATACATACTATACACACAGATATACATCCATTTTTTTAGGTATGCCAAAATGTATAGGAGACTCTAAAACGTAAAAATATGCAAAAAAATTCATTTCTGATTTTTTTTCATTACTGCAACTTATCCTCTGGGAAGTTAAAAATTATGTTTACTAATGATAAATAATATCCGTCTGCTATATTTATAGATATCTATAAATTATACTGATTATAGTCAACGATTAATGAAATATTATTAATTAAATGTGAAATAGAGCAATGGTAAATATAAAATAATTTATAATTTGATCTAAAACTTCTAATAAAATCATGTTTGATATAATTACGTGGGAAGCATTATTTTGAAAAAATTAAATATTTAAAATTGTAGTAATGAATAAATATAAGGGTGTTCTTTGATAAAATTATTAATAGAGATGTATGCCAAGACAGTGAATACAGAACAATAAAATGTGCCTTTGATAACTAAATCTAATACATGTTGTGTAAATCATATAAAAGTTGATAAAATCTGAAATAACACTGGAAAGAAATGTGATATTAGATGGATTACTACATGCATGACATTCTCATCTAAATTCCTGGTCAACAACGAAGTGCCTTTTCCGCAATTCTAAATCACTGGTTATGTCGCCGTCTTTGTGCCGCATGACCTCTTGCGATACACTTTACGATGGTTCGTCGTGGGCAGCCGGCGAACGCGGAAGAAGGGCGCGCGGTCGGGCTGATACGCTCCCGCCGCGCGTTTCCGAGCCCAATGCGTCCAAAATTTCACGGGTACCAGATCTTGGTTTACGAAACCCACCAGTACCTGCTGCTACACATACGATGAAATGCGGCTCTTCGCACAGCAATGCGTGGCTATGTTTGAGGTCGCAATTCGCTAATGGACTTATCACCAGGAAACTTCGACGTTGGGGTTCGACTGGTTCTTGGGTAGGGCTGTTGAAGTATTCAAGCAAACAAAGATTATCATTATAAGAAAAAACACTTTCTACTGACAACGAGTTACTGCTCTATTCTATTAAATATTTTTGAACAAAGTCATATACATGTTATGCACCAAAGTTAAATGTAAAATCTATGGTTTTACAGTGGCATTTGTATAGTGTTTATTGTATTTATTTGTGTTCAGATTATTTCATTAAGGCCATAATATTGTGCCAAAGCTTATATGATTTTTAGACTTATTTTGAATTAATAATAAAATTATATTAAATTAAGGGGTGTTTTGTTCTAGAGACATTACGCGATTTTTGAAAAGTTCTAAAAGGCTGTAAAAAAACAAACAATATTTTTACTGTATTTGTTTGCAAGTTATTGATTAATGTTTTAAGATTATAAAGAAGATGTAAAAATTCTCATAAATTTTTAATTCTCGAGAGTGTTGAAGTAAGGGATCTCTAAATGTTAGCATCTGATCATATCACTAGTTTTAGCGCTCCAAATAATCTGAAATATCAAGATATTATTAATCTAGAATAATGTCGCCATTGTATGAACTACGGACAAGTTATAAAAATATTTTTTCACAAAATAGCAACTGTCATAAAATATTTTTTTACAACTTTTTTTGATGTTCTAGATTTGTTTTTAAATGTTAAAAAACCAAATTTGTAGATGAGCGTAGTGCATTGTATCATAGGAATCGTATTGAAATAGATAGTTTCGAGAAAAAAGTATTTAAATTTTTGCGGCGGAAAGAAACAGATCAGGATTATCGTCGTCAAACAGCTATTTCTCCGAAAAGAATTTAAATTTTACATATTCTTGAACTGTTAAGGGGGTATTCTAGTATAGAGCGATGAATTTTAGGTCATTTTTAAAGTGTCGTAAAAGAAAGCAATGAATGTTTTTACTATCCATTTTTTACCACTTGTTTATTAATATTAATAAAATGCAAAACAAAAATTAAAAAGTTGAAAATTGTAAAAACTGGCTGCTGATGAAATGGGTGGGTGGTCTCAAAAAATTGGCACCTCAGTCTTGACATCATTACTATCAAAAAGATTATTAATCTACAATGATGTCGCAATCGCCCGAACTAGCGATGAGAAATTTTTTTTACAAATTGGCGACTGTTTGAAAAATTGTTTTTTTACTGTTATTTTGAGTTTCTCGAATTTTTTAAAAATAGTAAAAATTGGAATTGGGGATAATCCTAGTTCGGGCTATAGATAGGTCTATAAACAAGACTCTCTGAACATTTCAAGTAAATCGGTCGATTAAAACTCGAGAAATCGTGTCAACAGTACTGAAAAAGTCTGTTCTGAGAAAAACGCATTTAAAGTTTTGCGGAAAGCCAAACCAGTATGGAGACCGAGTCTGTAAAATGCCTATATCCTCGAAAATAATTCAAATTTTCCAAAACCATCTCGTACCCATATTCTTAGATAGTTAAACTTTGAAGATGTGAAATAAAAAAAATCGATTTTTTTGAATTTCTACACTAGAATACCCCCTTAAACTTTGAAAATATCAAAAAAACAAAATTGTTTATTTTTTAATTTGAGACCAAAATAAATGTAAATATAAGTTTTTTAAAAATTTATGTAATTATTTTGGAACCATGGCAAAAGTTTGCCAAACGTCTAAATCTTAATAAATAAATTAAATTAATATTTTGTGAATTTAATTATGATTGACTAAAATAAATATTTTTCCTTTCAGACGCCCGAATCGTTCCCACCACTCGAGTTGAGTTCTGCCTCTGTTGACGTAGCAGCAGATTACACAAAGCGGAGACATGTGCTACGATTCGCAGCACCAGGAGCAGAGCTGCTGCTGCAGGCGGAAGGGCCGGCTGATATGCGGCACTGGTTACGAGCGATGCACGATGCTGGTGCGAAAGTTAGCGCTGTAAGTACTCATCATAATAATGCGAAAATGAAATTTAATAATATTAATTATGCCATACTTAATTTTCATTTTTCATTGAATAATAAGTTGCTTTTGCAACTACTACAAAGTTGTTGTATACTTAGGAGTTCTTTCAGTTTTAGAGAATAATATCCTAAGTTTATTTATTGTGTATACATATTCAGAATGCACAGTGCGTTATTCGTGATTTCTTCTCATTTTAAAACTTAGCTCGAGAAAGATATATGCATGTTACTACTTAGTTTATCACTTCTCAAACATGTTTGATTACGGCAATTGAGCATCTAGAAAGTAAAAAACTGATGTTGACTAATTGTTTGATAATACCATAAAATAGAAACCTAAGAACTGAAACGGAAAATGATATATGTATTCTATGCGTTATACAATTATTCCAACAACAGCATTTTCACAAATTTTTTGCAATAATAATATTGATACTTAAAATATCATTTAGTTGCAGTTCAGATTTTTACTAAATATATAATGAGTAGTACGAGTACTGCACTATTTAGTTGCATGGGTGTAATGGTTCAGCTCACGGACTCGTATCAAAGGATAACCTGACGTCGTGCAGTAGCGATGTCCATTTTCGCTTGAAAAAGCAGATCAAAAATATGTTTCCAATTGAAAATTGCCCATCTCGGGCACTGCGGTGCGAAATGACAATGGGAAATCTTTCACGCTATTGTAATAATAATATTATATCTACTATAATATTGGTCAAGATTTTTTCAGGGCTTTTTCTATTTAACTCGGGACCTTTCGTGGTAGGACTGGTAGGGGATACAATTGTATGAGTATAAATACCTGTAACTTATAATAGTAAGGGAGACTAGCAAAAGTAACGAGGGAAAGAGGTTATAGAGTGAAGATCAATATATATCATAAACTAAATAGTGGTTTTATTCACATATCTTATGGTGATGGAATATTTATAATTTACAGTCCACTCAATATCAAATTAATCATTGTGATCCTCACCAAATATATTGTAAGTTCTGTGAGTACTACCGATTATTATATGTATAATTGTACGTGTACTTGTGACTATGTATGCACATATATTCATCTATTCCATTATGCATATGAGTTTGTATGAATGTATGCTTAGGTATTGCATTTGGAATTTTATCAATACACATTGAAGTGATGCACAATAACAGGTAAAATTTCTGTTAATAAATCTTCAAAATAATAAACAAATGTTGCAGGTTTTATAATGATTATAATTGTTCTGTGAATGAAGTCACTATACGGTCACTCGATTTACTTATCTTATCATTTTACTATAAATCTGAATTTACTCTATGATAAGTACTAATTACCAATAAATGGAATGAATTCTTCATAGAACTTCAAACTTAAAACAGCAATGGAATAATTTCTTACTAGATTGCTCATTCATTCCTGTTTAATTTTATTGGGTATTATGAGCAAATATATTCACAAGAGTCGATGAATTAGAATAAGAGGATAATTTTATATAAAACCAATGTATTATTTTGAAATACATAATTTCTATCAAAAACTTATACTTCTGTTTATATCAATTAAATTTGATTTCGCACAATATTCTTATGGGAATGTTTATTCTAAATGGCGCTTTCGCTAGTCGTTTTAATACTCAGGTACTGCAAGAATAAACATTTCAATGATTTATTTTATATTTTGAAAACTTTTTATAACAACGATTATTTTTAGATTGCATATCTATATTGCTGCATATCTTGCGAATTTTACAGATAACATATCCGATAGAGATAAACACGTAGTCTTCATTTTTAATTATTCAATGATAACATCCTTTAACGTTTGATAGCGAATTGGCTAATGTTTTTGTAAGTATTAGTCGCAATATACAATCTTTAAATTCAGAATGGCATAACTTTCATAATTTCGTATTTTTGTTATCAGTGCGAGCCATTTTTACAATGTATGTTTTAAATTGCGCATTAATTTTAATGAAAAATGAAATTTTAATGAGAAGTGTTGAATTTTGATTCAAATATGGTTGAATTTACCCAGACACCAGAGTTGAGAGATGCTTATTACAGTTATGAAGAAATAGCAATTATTTTTGGCACATTTATATGGAGGCAATTTTCTAAGGAATATGATAAAGGCTCACATGAAGTATGTTTAAGTTTATATTTTGTAAGAACAGCAGTTGAAAACAAATATATATACATACATGCTTTTTAACTACATATAATTATGGTTTTAACTAGTAAATATTTCGATGCGAATGAAAAAAGTGGAATAAGTTTAAGAGATTAAGGATTAGCATATACGTATACACTTTTAGATAATAAGAATATCTTAAGTGGCATAAAGTGTTAATTACAAGATCAATGGACTCATATTTGTAATATTTCTAATATCACATCTCTTGATAATATTAGTGTTAGTGTGGTTAATATTTAGAACAAATAACAACAATTACAATATACGTTGCAGAGCACAGAAGGTCTCGATGAGGTTGGAACTGAAGGAAGTGGTTCGCAGCAGGCCGAACCGCAAACAGCTCCTGCTTCGACATCAGTCCCTCATAAACCATCAAGAAAATTCCCACAGTTCAGAAGTCGCTCGCCGACTGGTAAGTAAACAAATATAAATGCGTGAATATGATATAATTGATTTTGTAACTCATGTAAATACAATATTAACTTCTAAATAGTTACATATATATATATATATATATATATATGTTTAATTTGAGTTTAATAATCGGGCGTAACATCAATAAAAATAGTATGAGTTTTTTTAAAAATTTATTTATTTAAAATCCATACGTTTCGGCTAGCATCTTAGCCATCATTCAGTGGTAATCAAGTTAACTATAAAAATTGAAACTAAATAAATTATATGAAAGGAAATTTTGTGGAAAAACAATAATAATAATAATAGTAATAAAACACTTACAATTTTGTATCCTAATATAGCATATGAAACCATTATTAATCCATGGTATGAGTATGTGCACATTGATAAGATATATATTTTTTAACACAAACATCACAAATGGTAAAACACACTAATAATCATGATAACTTAACAAGTTGTCGAAACTATGTATTTACTCTTTGGAGTTTAGGATAGAAATGTCACATTTTTCTCAAAGCAGTTTTTAGCATGTGTTGATATTTTTTGGAAAATTTAAAAGGCGATGGGATTTTGTTATTTTTTAAGGAATTTTGACACGCTATTAAGAAACCACGTGTTCGTTTCGATAAGGGCCGTATTGTCATTGCGTTTATTTATGACTCTGTCGTTATGTAATTGTAAAAACAACCCCTCAGCGAATCTTCTTTTAATTGTATTCTCTTCAAAATGTAAAATTTTAGGGTTAAAAAAATCGATATTATGATTTAAATTTTTAATATGCTCAGTTAACATTGTTTTAAATTGCTTAGGATTTTTTGAATTATTTTTGTGTTGATTAAGGCGTTTACTCAGGTTTTGGCTAGTTTCTCCAATATAAAAGAGTTCGCAATTAGAGCAATTAATTTGATATACTAAATTCCTGAGGCGGTCAAAATTGAACTTAGATTTCATTTGTGTAAAAGTTGAACTAAGGGTTGCATCACAATTACATACCAACAGAATGCCACATTGTTGAAATAGTTTTTTCCACGAGAAATATAAATCTTTTACGTACGGTAGGCAAATGACACCAGTATATGATTCTAAGTCTAAGCGGTTTTTATGGTCTGTGAGGTCTTTTTGTTTGTTAAAAATGTAACTGCGTCTGTTATTTATGACCGAGTTGATTATGTTCGTAGGATATGAGTTGTTTTTCAGTGTGTTTATAACCAGGTCAATGTTCGTGTCCCAGAAGTTTTTGTCAGATAGTAATATGGCGTGGTCTGTTAAATTTATTATTGTCGCAATTTTCATTTTAAGAGGGTGGTATGAGTGGTAATTTATGTATCGTCCGGAGCTAGTTGGTTTCTGGTACCAGTTAGTAATTAGTCGGTGGTCATTTGTACGTATGAGTCTGATGTCTAGAAAGCTAGCTTAGCTTTCTAGACATCAGACTCATACGTACAAATGACCACCGACTAATTACTAACTGGTACCAGAAACCAACTAGCTCCGGACGATACATAAATTACCACTCATACCACCCTCTTAAAATGAAAATTGCGACAATAATAAATTTAACAGACCACGCCATATTACTATCTGACAAAAACTTCTGGGACACGAACATTGACCTGGTTATAAACACACTGAAAAACAACTCATATCCTACGAACATAATCAACTCGGTCATAAATAACAGACGCAGTTACATTTTTAACAAACAAAAAGACCTCACAGACCATAAAAACCGCTTAGACTTAGAATCATATACTGGTGTCATTTGCCTACCGTACGTAAAAGATTTATATTTCTCGTGGAAAAAACTATTTCAACAATGTGGCATTCTGTTGGTATGTAATTGTGATGCAACCCTTAGTTCAACTTTTACACAAATGAAATCTAAGTTCAATTTTGACCGCCTCAGGAATTTAGTATATCAAATTAATTGCTCTAATTGCGAACTCTTTTATATTGGAGAAACTAGCCAAAACCTGAGTAAACGCCTTAATCAACACAAAAATAATTCAAAAAATCCTAAGCAATTTAAAACAATGTTAACTGAGCATATTAAAAATTTAAATCATAATATCGATTTTTTTAACCCTAAAATTTTACATTTTGAAGAGAATACAATTAAAAGAAGATTCGCTGAGGGGTTGTTTTTACAATTACATAACGACAGAGTCATAAATAAACGCAATGACAATACGGCCCTTATCGAAACGAACACGTGGTTTCTTAATAGCGTGTCAAAATTCCTTAAAAAATAACAAAATCCCATCGCCTTTTAAATTTTCCAAAAAATATCAACACATGCTAAAAACTGCTTTGAGAAAAATGTGACATTTCTATCCTAAACTCCAAAGAGTAAATACATAGTTTCGACAACTTGTTAAGTTATCATGATTATTAGTGTGTTTTACCATTTGTGATGTTTGTGTTAAAAAATATATATCTTATCAATGTGCACATACTCATACCATGGATTAATAATGGTTTCATATGCTATATTAGGATACAAAATTGTAAGTGTTTTATTACTATTATTATTATTATTGTTTTTCCACAAAATTTCCTTTCATATAATTTATTTAGTTTCAATTTTTATAGTTAACTTGATTACCACTGAATGATGGCTAAGATGCTAGCCGAAACGTATGGATTTTAAATAAATAAATTTTTAAAAAAACTCATACTATTTTTATTGATGTTACGCCCGATTATTAAACTCAAATTAAACATATATATCAACATCAAATTCAAGACTATTCAAAAATATATATATATATATATATATATATATATATATATATATATATATATTAAGGGTGTATTTGCTTTAGTTTAGGCAATTATTTTATGCCGTTTTGAAGGCCCTAAAAAAGCATACAATATTTTTATCATATTTTTTTTATAATTTATTAATCAATGTTTTGAGAAAATAATAAAAATTAAAAATAGTCATAGAAATTTAATTCTAAAAGGTGATGAATTGGGGGGAGGGGCAATTGACATCTGACTATGCCCATATATTTTTGCAATGATTTTTAGCTCTCCAAATAATCTGAAGAAATATATATATATATATATATATATATATATATATATATATGTTATTATTCTAGATCTATAATAATGTCGTAATTGTATGAGCTATGTACAAATTTTTCAAACTTTATTTACATTGTCGATTTTTTTAAATGTACTAAAAATCTGAATTTGGGAATGAGCATAGTTCAAACTGAAGAGAAGTCTATAAAGAAGACTCTGTAAAAATTTCAAGTAAATCGGTCCAGTAGAAGTTGAGAAATCGTGGGTATCGTATCGAGAAAGACAGTTTCGAGAAAAATGTGTTTGAAGTCGTGCGTAGGAACGAAACAGATGAGAATTATGGTGCTCAAACTAAGAAAATGGTGCCATATCTAAGAAAATAATTTGAATTTTGAAAAATCCTCTTATACACATATTCTTGAACAGTTAAACATTGAAAATGTGCGGAAAAAATAAATCGATTTTTTGAAAACTTCACACCAGAAAGTCTGGTCCAGAAAAACCCTTAAAAAATAATAAAAGAAAGTGTGTTCGCTGTCATATTGTTCATATGATAATACATTATTTAAAACCAAACGAAAAATGAAAATTAATTACAAAGAAATCAAATCGATAATAATGATAGTAATAAAAAATTGTAAATATAAAATATAATTATAATAAGTATTATTAATTATTATTTAATAATATATTATATACGCATATATTTTTTCATGAAACAAATGAATTTTTCTCTGTAGGTCAATCTCCTGTAAACAAAACGCGTAAAGCAACTTTGCCCGCAAACTCTTTAATTGAGCAGCCATCCAATAATCAACAACAGCAACCTCAAGCAAACCAGCTGCCGCAACCAGTGCCCCAGCAGCAACAAACGCAAGGGGGCAGCCCAAAAAGTAAAACATGGAAAGGACGAGTCGCCCGCCAATTGAGACGAATGCAGGGAGCAGCCGTGGGAGGCTCAGGTGGCCAAAGTCCTACATCACCAGGGCCAGACAGTGGACGGTGCATAGGCGTGCCTATTGAGCTCTGTCCACCTGTAAGTTATTGTAATCAATAGTAATATTTTTTTCTGAAATAAACTAAGTTCTGAAACTAGGTAATAGGTACTAGGTTTTAAACTAGGTAATGAATAAAATATATCATTTTTCAACAGAGTGCTGATAACCCATTTGTTCCTCGTCTGGTCGATTTCTGCACGAGCGTCGTAGAAGCTCGAGGATTAGACGTCATGGGTATTTATCGTGTGCCCGGCAACACAGCAGCCGTTCAGGCACTCACAAACATGGCCAGTAGAGGGCTTACTGAAGAGGATATGCAGGTAAGTCATAAAAAAAACTTTAAATATATTTGATCAATAGTATTCCAATGATCTAAATAGGGTAGTCAACCTATTTTGTTTCGAAATTAATCACTTTGGTGATTTCTTTTATTAGGATCCTCGATGGAACGACGTCAACGTAATAAGTTCGTTGCTGAAATCATTCTTCAGGAGACTGCCCGATTCGTTGCTAACCGCTAATTTGTATCCATTACTGATAGCAGCGGATAAATCGGTTGGACAAACTGAACGTTTGGTATCTTTGCGGTTGCTGCTACGCAAACTGCCTCCACATCATTATGAAACCCTGCGCCATTTAATGCTACATTTGAGGAGAGTGGTTTGCAATAGTTCTGTTAACAAAATGGAAGCCCGCAATTTGGCTATTGTTTTTGGACCAACGCTAGTTAAGGCGAATGAAGACAGCTTAGCCACAATGGTTAATGACATGAGTCACCAGTGCCGAATAGTTGAAAGTGTACTCAATTATGTAAGTTTCATTAACAATCTAATTTTGATGTAAAGATGATTCTGGGAGATTCTAGTTGACAGTAAAAAACTAATTAATTTATTTGGACAAACAAGTTTAGAATCACAAACAAATATTATAACTCTAATTACCTGTTTAATTATAATTGGTAATATTTTTCTAAATGATTTTCTTATTTTTCCAGGTTGATTGGTTTTTCAGCCCTCCAGAAAGCAACGAACTTCCTGAATTAATTCCTGAAGTGACAACTGATGCGCCTGTTACGCAAACGCCACCTGCAAAAACTTTGCTATTAGAAAATGTTACAAAAGTAGAAGGTAATGAAATTAATTAAAAATCTTACAAAATTCTCATAAAATATGTGCATTTACAATAATGTATTTAGTTTATTTTATTTTGTTTTATTGGGTATCAAAGATGATACCCTGACGTTTCAATATTTAATTCACAATCAGAATGATAAAAGCTCAAGCAAGGGGTGACACAATGGATGTCGTCCATAGATGACACCCGTACACACAGGTAGTTATGCGGTTGTCGTCTATAGGCGACATTCTTACACACGTGAGGTGTATGTGTATGTGAAAGAAGGCTTATAGTCTAATGTGCGTGAATTTTTCAATTTATAAATTATGATATCACGTTATTTTTTTAGCTGCGGCCAAGAAACGGCAGAAAGTTTTAGGCAGGACAAAGACAGCGCCAATACCAAGCGTCCACACGGAAAATCAATCTTTTGGCGAAATGAGCGTAAGCGGCGATGGAAAAATTCAACGAAGCGACGACCTGAATAGTTTCAGAGAAATTTCAAATTCTGAAAGATTGAACTCTGCTTGTTCGTTGACCAGGGTGACAACGACAAGTACTCATAGCTCATCTAGTCACAGCAGCAGTACATATCACGAGGAAAGCAACAGCTTAATTCAGGTTTGTTTGAAATAATAACATGCAAAAAATATCTATTCTTAGTATCTAAAACTGATCTCAGATACAATTGAATTTAATATTTATTTTAACAATATGATATTTTGTTGGGTAAGATGCATTGCTTTCTTATATTGCAACTGCATGTGCAGAAGTCTTCAAGGTCGTGATTAACTATAACAATTTATTAAAAGTTGATTGGTCGAACTTACCCCAGTGGTAATTACCCGACTTCATTTATTCAATATGAATGCAAGCAAGTATTAATCATGATCATTACCTGATTGCATTCATATTAGATAAATGAAGTACATATATGTTGTATGTAAGGAAAATTTCAAATTATTTATTATTTAATTGTGGTAAGTGCGAAATAAGTAAAAGTACAAATAAATTCATAATTTATATCAATTACAGAATATACAATTTGTTGGTGAACAGTATTTCTATGATTTGCAATTATTCGAAAATATTTGAATATTTATTTTTATATATAGGACAGTGTGACGAATTTGTCGCACGACTTTCTGGCGATGCCTTGTTGCTCGATTACTACTATAGTCTGACATTTTGTCGGGTAAGATACATTGCGTTCTTATATTGCATTTGCACGAAGCTGAATTACAAATACCTTTAAGAAAAATTTAAACATAATTAATTTTTTAACTTCTAAGTTGCACCAGTCATTGCAATACTGTTCCTAAATTGTTATTTTGTAATTTTTTGTTAACTTTTGAATGTTAATATAAATTCAATTATTTGATCATATTACACTTAATGCAGAACAGTTTTTCATGGCACACTGATGATAAATACCCACCTTGAAGCAAGTTTAAATGTTTGGCATGTTCACAATATTTAATGGTATCAAAGTGTATTCACAAATTAATGCACCAATTATTATATATTTATCTACATATACAATGTTTTCGTGTACCATAGTAATAGCCATAGATAAACAAGTATAAATGGTAATAGCATTATGGGTTCAGTTTTTATTTAAGTAGTAAATCTACTCCTTTTTACTAAATAACAAAATCTAAATAAACTTGTAGAACTTCTTTCTTTATTTTTAAGCTATACAATTTCGTATGAGCTACCGAGAAGAAAGGAAAATTTTAAAGAAAATTGATTATTACTCATTTCTTATTAATAAGGGTTCAAAATATATTTTGGCGGTTAACAATTAAAAATTCAATAACATACTCTTGTATAAAGTATTAGCAAGTGCAGTCAAAAAAAAATAGTATAGTAAAATGTACATTAAATATATTTTTTTCCTAAGTTCATTTATATGTACATACAATTGATAAGTTTTTTTATAGTTATTTATAAGTATATCTACATATATGTATAATTAGATATTAATTGCACATATACCTGTATTTTACCTCATTTACTGAAGATTTGCCTGAATAATTACAAGACCTTTTAAACATAAAGATATATATATATATATTTTATTTCTGTAATTTATCATATGAGAGGTGAATGATTTAATAATTATGATTTAAAAATATAAGTAATATCAAATTATTTTTTTATTTCAGGATGATAAATCTCAAGACAGTACGGAAAACAGGAAGAGTTTGGAGTTGAATAGTGGATGTAAGTACCCCAATAATGACTATATAATTATCTATAGTGGAGCGAGGGACTATTTTTATTGCATATAATTCTTTTTATTTTAAATCGATTTTAATAATTGCCTAATTATTCATTTATCATATGCACGAAGTAAAAATAAACGAACTTAATGAATTTTAGACGTCAGATACTAGATCAAATAGGGCTGATATGAAAGTGATGCGAAAAGAAATAATATAAATTATGAAATTATTCAATTTAGATTTTATTTTCTAAATACATATATAGTGCTAGAAATAGGGCTTTATACCGCATTTCCATTTATTATGTCTATTTGTCCGCCCTAAGGGTCTATTTTCTTATCCTTTTATTTATGCTTTCATTCTGAAAAGGTTGAACTTTATTGAAAATCTTATTGTTTTTTATTTAGAAAATTATTATATAATAGTTCAAATTTAAAACCGTTATTTTATTAATGCTACAGTTATAGTAAGTAGCACCAATGAAACTACCTTATCAAAATTGATTGCAAATTTTTAATGCATTTCAGAAATTTTAAATTGTTTATTCAATAAGTTTAATCATGGTTCATTTATTAACCGGTTATTTAACTGGTTCAAAATCATTTACAAGTTTCTCATTTGTCTATCATATACACGTTTTTCTGTTTTATTTCATACATACCTTATATATATATATATATATATATATATATATATATATATTATATATATATATATATATATTGCTTTTTATTAAATAAAATAATAATAATAAAATTAGGAATAAAAATCATTAACTTCGAATTTTTTTTAATCCAGATAAATACATAGTATTTTTACTGACTTCGAAAACACAACATCGCATTTGTAAAATACAAATAATTGATATCATTGTGGTTTCTTAAATGTTGATTTTTATCGATCATCATTAGGTACCGTCATGAATCAGATACCTATAAGGCCACCACGCAAAAGGCCCTAAAATCGAAGGTACCATATTCGTTTGCACAGAACTTAGACGTTGACTAATGAAAACTTCATACTTTTTCACCGACTAACCAAAGCTAATTTTCCCATTAACGCTATATTAATTTGTTTAAATTAATTCCTGATTGCGAGATTTCTGCTTTGAGATTTGTTACATTTATCAAAAATGTGACGCTATTTTTTCAGACTTGAACGCATCATCAATGTTTTATAAGCATTCTTTTAATAATTAATTAAGCATTAAATATTTGCTGGTTTGCATAAATACTGTATCTGATTCTAATAATTTGTGCATTAATTTATGTTTATTTACTATCTCGTCTTTTTGTTAGCTTTATGGCGTAAATCTGGATATAGCTTGATATAATAACTTATAAATTTAATATTTACTGATAATAGTTTTGGTGTTTTTATATTAATAAATTTATTATTTTAACTTTATATGTTAACCTGTAAATTTTGTGTGACTTGATCTTATTATAGTTGGCATCTAAATTTTCGTTTATATTTTTTTGATTGTAGATGAAAAAACATTACGCATATTCAACAAATATAAGACATAAAAATATTTTAATTTAAGGGACTGAGAATATATAACGGTTTCTCAGTCACCTCATATTGTTATAATTTTTGTAGAAACCTATGTTATGTAATTAGTATAGATATTCGTGTCATTACGCACGTTGGTGTGATTCGAACTTATAACTATTTCTTAATTCCTTTAGGTTCTGATATGGTGTCCGACATTCAGTCAACATTCGATCGCCTCTTAAACTCGCCGACATGTTTAAATCCACTTTCTGGTCCTGATAACATACCTTACGCAGATGAAAGTCCAGAAAAACCTCACGGCTCACCGAGCCGACTTCGTGATCCTAGTTGGCATAGACGTTTCAGAAGCTCCTCCCATGGGCAGCATAATCAGCAACCTTTAAATACCTCTCTCATCTATGACCAGGAACATATAGATCACCCAAATCAAAATAAAATTCATGATCGTGATATCGTAGACTATGCTTCTACAAGTTCGACCATCTCCAGCCAACAATCCTGCCACAGTGTCAGCACCCAAAGTTGTGAGAGCAATGATACTATGGATAGCTTAAGATCAGATCAATCAGACTTAAAAGAAAATGATGATCATCAAAATTTACACGACGTATCCTCACAAAGCATATCAGGATCGGAATCTGCAACCAGTACTAATAAAAGCAAAGATTATAAAAACGTTTACACAGGGAATTTTTTATTAAAATCTCAAAGCAACTCTATGATACCTGTGAATGTGGTCAAGCCCTTAAATACTAACAATACTACTTCTGACGCTAATACTTTATCATATAATGTTTCTAAGCAATCTACGGTCCAAGAGAACATATCAAATCAGGACAGACCAACCGAAGGACCAGAATCTAACATAAATCTTAATATAACTTCAAATCAAGCGGGCACTTCTTTAACTTTAACATCTGAAGGATTATACAATGATAAATCTACAACAGTTTCAGTTAAGCCAGGGTCTTTATTTCGTTCAGAAAGTTTGAACAAACATGATAGAACTCAATCACCCATAAACAAACTAAAAAGATCAGAGAGTCTTAATAAAAAGGATGATATAAAACTAAAGCGATCAGAAAGCCTTTCCAAGTCTGAAAAGACTCAAACCAATTATAAAACCAGAGAAATGACACTTTCTAGTAAAAATTGTGGTAAAAAAGATACTAAATTGAAGAGAAAGAATGGTAGTCAAAATAGAAGTATAAAACGTAGACATACTGTTGGAGGAACTAAGGACTATGTAACTTCTCAAGAATCAGAAGCTAGAAAAGAACAGGTGCGAACTAGTTCTCCTGACTTAAATTTAGGAACTTGCGCCCGTGACAGTTTTTTACTGGAAGTACGAATGAGAACTCCAAGTAACATGATTGCAGAAATTCGAGTAAGTCATAACTTCCTCGAGTCACATATATAAACACATTCTGTCTGCAAATCTAAATACTTTCTCTTTTCGAATGAAGAGTATTAAATAAAGGGTTTCATAAATATTTTTTGTGTCAATGTGATATCATCGTGTATATTTAAATGTAAGAGAACGTAATATAGCTTATGAAAACACAAAACACCAAACCATTGTTAACAATTTTTGAAAACATGTCAATTATTTATTGTTGCTTAAATGTAATTGCTAAATATTATGCATATCTTTCTAACATCGGAACCAAGTTTAGAAATCTATTAATAACATTAACTTATATTTATGTTTTGTTCATATACATATTTTTATTATTTCAACTAATGAAAATATTTTATATAAATATTAGGTATAAAAACCATGAAATCAGATTATGTTAAGTGAATGAAAATGATTTTAAATTTGTGATATTTTTTTTCTTAAAATTTATGTAATATTAATGAATGTATTCAAGGTAAATGCTTGGGAAATAAAAGCATATGATGCTTTTTTACTGGATTTCACATAGAAAACTATCCAGCATTTAAATTTACAAATACACGTTAGGAAACACCAAATATTCATACATGTAATAAAAAAGTTACATTTTATGAACTAAGATTATATTTAAATTATTAATCACAGAATATTTGTAGAGTGTTTGGAGATGTATAAATTCAAGTATTCAATTATATATAATTGTAAAATTTTATTTAAGACTTTAAAATGAATTGATTGCAAGTCTATATGTAATAAATTTGAATCACGCTTTAGTTAGTATGAATGGGTTATGGCTAATTATAAGTGGTTGAATTAAAGGAAACCTGAAAATAAGTGGTTAACCAAGATTACATTAGTTTGTCAGTAGACTTGCCTGTATTAAAAGTTCACTAATTGTAAATATATTTTTGATGTTTTATTAAATATTTATTTTCAATACTACATGTACTTCCAATCTTATACATCATAGCCATACATAGGTCCTTCCATATACGCTTTATCCATATCTCTAGAATTTCGACGCACTCTCCTGCCTATTGGTTCTAAATCTGCATAGCATTTTGGAAATACTCGTTCTACAGCATCTATTGCTTGATCTCGAGTTACATTTCGTACGGCTAATACTGAGTTCAGAGCTTTTGTTTTCACACAGTTCTAAATAAACAATAAATTTCGAATGTAATATTTTTATGGCCACTCTCATACGAGATTTTATTTATTACCTGATGAGCTTCTTTTACATTAAATATTGAGGCATCTCCTTGGCCCCATGCACTCAAGAACGAGCAGTGAGTTAAGTTAGCAGCCCTGATTTCTGTACAGGCTAAATGATCAATGTTCTTAAAGTCAAGTTCATTTCGACAAAAATCAAACATATGTATCATTTCATGTGTTAGGACACCTTGGACCATTCCTTGTGATCTAGCCACATTCTGACAAATAACTATCTACACTGACAAAGAAAACAATACATTAGGCAAAATAACATAATAATAATGCAACAAACACTTCTGCAAGTGAAGGAATCTTATTTATATTCATATGGAGTAAAGTTGACACTGACCATGAAAGATAACAGAAAAATGTGAATATGCCATATTCACTTTAATTTATGGACTCAGTTAAAATGCTTTCATTGAAACTAAAACTAATAAATTTAGTGAAAGCATTGTACTGAAGTCATTGTCAGAAAATGACTGCATTTGATAATTATTTTGCTTTTATAGAACATCCCAGAGCCATTGGAATTTTTTAGTTTCGACTAACAGCAATTTTATATCATGTTCCCAAATTATGAAATATATGCTTATATAAATGAATGAACTAAAAAATTTAAATTTCACCTGATTCAATTCCGGATCATAACCCCCACTTACAGAAATATCACAAACTTCACACGATATATGTCTTCGGATATCCATCTCACTATTTTATTGAGATCATTATTATCAAAAAAATAATCAATTTTTAAAATTAAATTACAAAAAGCAACTCACCAGCCGGAACTTTTCAATGCACCCATCATTAATTTTACGATAGGACCTTAAAAAAATAGGTTTCTGTTCTATTATTGAATATGACATTTATTGTAAAGTATTTTTTCTTACTTTTCTTAATACAAGCAAAAACATTTTTTTCACATTTTAATTTATCTGTACTTTCTCTTCCTTCGATCCGAGTATAATTTTTTCAAACTAGGTGAATATTTTTGGCCTCTACGTTCAGGGTATAAATCGTATCCCATTCTTTCTGTTCTCTGTACTTGAAGAACTGTTTGTATTTTCTGCATCCGCAAACATTTTATAGATTCTGGAATAATTTTATAATGGTGACATGATATCATAGATAAGAAAATTTGCAAGATATTATGCAAATGTAATGGACGCCAAAAAAATGTTAGTAGTTTTAGTTATCTTTTTACATTCATTAATAATTGAACAATTATATAATATAACCTATAATTCATGACATGTATATTAGCGGCAAGGGTTATAAAATAAGATTATCTTAAGAAGTAACATATAAACGAAGTATATATACCTTTCCAATAAAACTAATAGAATATAATAATGAGCGTATTCAACCCTGTTAAATTTATATTGAAAATTGTTATAAATTTAACCAAACTGTTTAACTTGCTAAATCTATTTTAAACTTAATACACCGTCGTAAGATAATTTATATTATATTCGTCTAATCATAATTCTAAATAATTTAAATAATATGTCTAATAAGATATTGTCAAAAATAAAATTCAAATG